TAAACTCACTCACTCTTGTTTATTGCTTAGAGCGATGTTTCAGTGTAGATTCTTACACTATTTTCAGGCTTTCATGTGAAATAGTTCTTTCATAGCTAATTTAAAAACTGCATAGTTTTGTCACCAGAGCTGTTTTTCACATGTTTCTGATGCGACCTCAGTAATCTAAACAATTGGGCAATTTGTCTTGAGATCACAAGCAATGCTAAACTTCCATAATTCTATCATACTTTTTTCGGGGAAGTAGCATATGTGATCATCTTCCATGTTCCCATTCAAAGAACTTTTCGAGAAACATTGACAAAATGGAAAAGAAAATCTAAAGAGTTTATGCTATGTTTGGATCATACATTAATTATCTTCAGGCATTATATGCCAATATATCATGTTTATTAAATGTTTCAAAACACTAGGAATATGAGAATGCCATCGCAACCATAAGCAGGTTAATTTGACAGAGAACTTATTCAGAAAGGGAAATTCTGTATTAGTCCTCCAAGCAGTCGACTAGAATTTAAGGAATCATTATGTTCTACCATCCTCATCAAGATCCGATCTCGACCAACGGTTAGTTTCTGAAAACACAATATTTTCATGAAAACTGTTAACTCCTTTTAGGTAAATTGAAAAGTAGCCCCATTGAGACAACAGATTCAAAACCTGAGAAAGTCTAGACTTGCTACATTTACACTAAGGTTTGGGAGGAAGGGAAAAAAATTAGGATCCCAAAATAATTTGACTCATAGACTGACAGACAAGATCACATCCATCAAATAGCCAGATTGACATATTTGACCTTAATATGGGTTCTGCTTAAATAAGCACCCTTGACCAGTTTCTACTTTAATCTGCTAGATCTGGACGTGTATTGTTAAGCACCTCCTGACCAACTTCAAGGCCAATAAGGGACCATTCATTAATTTTATGGCTAGGGGGTGATGATGAATATAAGGGGGTCATCCATTTTGTTCTGGGGAGGTATGGAAGTCATCAATTTTGTACACATGTACAAAGGGATGTATCAGCAATTTTGTACATGACATGCAGGGGTGGGTCACTTTGTACATAAATTTTAGGGGGGTCATTCACATTGTACATTCTTCTCCATAAAAGTCATCATCATCAACCCCAACCCCCCCAACCCCCCCCAAGCCATAAATATATGAATGGTCCCTAAAGGCCCCCATAGAGGACCAAAATATTTGCAGGAAATAACACATTTTGTTATTGAACTATTCCTGGACAATGGCATTTTAAAAAGCTTATTAAAATGGGAAATGTAATTGAAGCTATCTATCAATGTTTCTGACAAACCTATCATTGCACTGTTCTTTGTTTTATCTGATGTTTGAACTGAGTTTGGTTTCTTCTGCTCAATTTGATTCATTGTGCTGTTGTGGTTTTAATGAACAGGTCGTTTCAATCTTGTTCTGAATACAGCAGATGCATTAGTGCAGCAGCATCTGTCGGGATCTTCCCACACACACAGCTCAAGTCCGTTGTTTAGGAGTTGTGTCGCAGTTGTCACAGTTTATTCTAAGACAAGACATGAGTTCTGTGTGTTTAGCATTTAGCGTCAGCAGACGACAGTCTTGGAAACGTTTACTTACAAGATACTGATGGATAGCATCTCAGGGTCCCCGAAGGTATATCAGTGTTAGCAGCTGAAGATGGATACTGTATGTGATTCTGTGTGGTAATGTCATCTATATAGTTGACATGATTGATGCTTGATGGTTTATTGATGATAGATGATGGTACTGGTAGTGGTATGGATGTTTTTGATGAAGGTATTGATGATAGATAATCATCAGGTATTGATGAAAGATGATGGTATTGATGACAGATAATCATGAGGTATTGATGATAGATGATGGTATTGATGATAGATAATCATCAGGTATTGATGCTAGATAATCATCAGGTATTGATGATAGATGATGGTATTGATGATAGATAATCATCAGGTATTGATGATAGATGATGGTATTGATGAAGGTATTGATGCTAGATAATCATCAGGTATTGATGATAGATGATGGTATTGATGATAGATAATCATCAGGTATTGATGGTAGATAATCATCAGGTATTGATGATAGATGATGGTATTGATGATAGATAATCATCAGGTATTGATGATAGATGATGGTATGATGAAGGATTGATGATAGATGATGGTATTGATGATAGATAATCATCAGGTATTGATGCTAGATGATGGTATTGATGATAGATAATCATCAGGTATTGATGCTAGACAATCATCAGGTATTGATGATAGATGATGGTATTGATGATAGATAATCATCAAGGTATTGATGATAGATGATGGTATTGATGATAGATGATGGTATTGATGATAGATAATCATCAGGTATTGATGATGGTATTGATGATAGATAATCATAAGGTATTGATGATAGATGAAGGTATTGATGATAGATGATCATCAGGTTTTGTGATAGATGATGGCACTTATGGTGGTACTGATGATGGTATTGTGATAGATGATGGTACTGATGATGGCATTGTGATGGTATTGTGATAGATGATGGCATTGATGATGGTATTGTGATAGATGATGGTATTGATGAAGGTATTGTGATAGATGATCATCAGGTACTGTGATAGATGATGGTATTGATGATGGTATTGTGATAGATGATGGTACTGATGATGTATGATTATTGATGATAGATAATCATCAGGTATTGGTGATAGATTATGGTATTGATGAAGGTATTGTGATAGATAATCATCAGGTACTGTGATAAATGATGGCATTGATGATGGTATTGTGATAAATGATGGCATTGATGATGGTATTGTGATAGATGATGGCATTGATGATGGTATTGTGATAGATGATGATGATGATGATCATCAGGTATTGGTGATAGATTATGGTATTGATGAAGGTATTGTGATAGATAATCATCAGGTACTGTGATAAATGATGGTATTGATGATGGTATTGTGATAGATGATGGCATTGATGATGGTATTGTGATAGATGATGGTATTGATGAAGGTATTGTGATAGATGATGGTATTGATGATGGTATTGTGATAGATGATGGTACTGATGATGGTATTGTGATAGATGATGGTACTGATGATGGTATTGTTATAGATGATGGTACTGATGATAGATGATGGTATTGATGATGGTACTGATGGTGGTATTGTGATAGATGATGGTACTGATGATGCATTGATGATGGTATTGATGATAGATGATGGTACTGATGATGATATTATGATAGATGATACTGATGATGATGGTATGATGATGATGATGGTATTGTGGTATTGTGATAGATGATGGTACTGATGATGGTATTGTGATAGATGATGGTACTGATGATGGTATTGTGATAGATGATGGTACTGATGATGGTATTGTGATAGATGATGGTGATGATGAGTATAGATGTGATAGATGATGGTATTGATGATGGTATTGTGATAGATGATGGTATTGATGATGGTATTGTGATAGATGATGGTATTGATGGTATTGTGATAGATGATGGTACTGATGATGGTATTGTGATAGATGATGGTACTGATGATGGTATTGTGATAGATGATGGTACTGATGATGGTATTGTGATAGATGATGGCATTGATGATGGTATTGTGATAGATGATGGCATTGATGATGGTATTGTGATAGATGATGGTACTGATGATGGTATTGTGATAGATGATGATGATAGATGATGATGGTATGTGATAGATGATGGTAATGATGATGGTATTGTGATAGATGATGGTACTGATGATGGTATTGTGATAGATGATGGTACTGATGATGATAGATGATGATATTGATAGGTATTGATGATGATCAGGTAGTGATAAATGATGGCATTGATGATGGTATTGTGATAGATGATGGTACTGATGATGGTATTGTGATAGATGATGATATTGATGAAGGTATTGATGATAGATAATCATCAGGTACTGTGATAGATGATGGTACTGATGATGGTATTGTGATAGATGATGGCATTGATGATGGTATTGTGATAGATGATGGTACTGATGATTGATGAATGGTATGATGATGATAGTGATGATGATGGTACTGATGATGGTATTGTGATAGATGATAAATGATATTGTGATTGATGATGGTATTGATGATAGATGATGATAGTACTGATGATGGTATTGTGATAGATGATGGCATTGATGATGGTATTGTGATAGATGATGGTACTGATGATGGTATTGTGATAGATGATCATCAGGTATTGTGATAGATGATGGCACTGATGATGGTATTGTGATAGATGATGGTACTGATGATGGTATTGTGATAGATGATGGTATTGATGATGGTATTGTGATAGATGATGGTATTGATGATGGTATTGTGATAGATGATGGTACTGATGATGGTATTGTGATAGATGATGGTATTGATGATGGTATTGATGATGATGGTATTGATGATGGTATTGTGATAGATGATGGTACTGATGATGGTATTGTGATAGATGATGGTACTGATGATGGTATTGTGATAGATGATGGCATTGATGATGGTATTGTGATAGATGATGGTACTGATGATGGTATTGTGATAGATGATGGTACTGATGATGGTATTGTGATAGATGATGGTACTGATGATGGTATTGTTATAGATGATGGTATTGATGATGGTATTGTTATAGATGATGGTACTGATGATGGTATTGTTATAGATGATGGTACTGATGATAGATGATGGTATTGATGATGGTACTGATGATGGTATTGTGATAGATGATGGTATTGACAGTATATGATAAAAGTAATGATTGATCTGTCTCTCAGACAAATGAAAGAGGGCAAAAATGAGTTTTTGAGAGTCAGGGTTAATGTGATGGTTGTGAACGGAATGATTGTCATATAGCTTTCTTTGCTAGCAGCCAGATTGTATCTTTTTCATGAGAATTAGATGTATATTTTACAATATATTTTTTTTCTTCATTTTCCAGTTTGGCCAGTCCCGTCCAAAGATTAAGAAGGAACAAAAGCGGCGTCCCAAACCGAAAGATGGGACGCAGATGGTGTGCGGAGTGTGTGGCGATAAGGCCCTCGGCTACAACTTTGACGCAGTCACGTGTGAATCATGCAAGGCTTTCTTCAGGAGGAATGCATTGAAAGCAAAGGTGAGGGTGCTGAGGATATTTTGTTGATAGGAAGTCTGGTGTCCCCCTCCGTGATATTGTTTGGAATATTGCTAAAAGGGGCGTAAAACCAAAACTTACTCACTCAGTGGTTAAAGTGGTGGTTTATAAAGGCATCCGCTCATCACGCTGAAGACCCGGGTTCAATTCCCCACATGGGTACAATGTGTGAAGCCAATTTCTGATGTCCCCCGCCTTAATATTGGTGGAATATTGCTAAAAACAGCATAAAACTAAACTCACTCCAAATGTTAAGGCTAACGTCTTCAATTTGTGTAATCTTGCGTCTTGTATTGCAGACATTCTCCTGTAGTTTTGACGGCAACTGTAAACTTGACCCTCACACCAGGAAATTCTGCTCAGGATGTCGTCTCAAGAAATGTTTCACGATCGGGATGAAGAAGGACTGGATACTCAGTAAGTGCGGCCATCTTTGTTTGGTAGTTGAGCTGTTAACTGGGAACGCTTCCGCCAGGGGTAGATATCAATGCAGGTCATAAAGATCAATAATCAATAAATATTGATTGACTATCAATAAATACTGGAGAAGTAAATTTGAGCAAATGAATTAAAAAATGTTTGTCAGAAATCTGCAAATTCACATCACTGGTGAGTGGAAACACATACATGCATATTCAGACAAACTTTAGGATAAACAACTTCTTTATTCGGTAGATGCGACGTTTCGATACAGATTCTTGTATCGTTGTCAAGCAAGTATCTATCTATCTATCTATCTATCTATCTATCTATCTATCTATCTATCTATGGAAAACTTATATAGCGTCATATCCAGAAATAAACTGCTCTGCTGCGCTTGAGACTCTGATGGAAAGTTGCTGTATGCTTCACGGAAGTAATGAGTCTTTAGCTGTGATTTGAATGAGTCCAGGTCGTGGTTAGATCTCAGGTGTTGTGGGAGTTGATTCCACAAGTTTGGTCCGGCAATTTGAAAACAACGGCTGGTGTTGCAACTGGTTTTTAGTTCAGGTGGCTGAAGGAGAAACAGGTATCTGTATTGAAACGTCGCATCTACCGAATAAAGAAATTGTTTATCCATAAAGTTTGTCTGTTCATTAGTCTCCAACTTGTAAACATGCCACTCAAAGAAGTTACATGCATGCATGAATTTCTAGCTGAAATGTGGTTGTCTGATTGTATTCCAAGTCTGTTATGATACAACAAAACCTTATTTCATTTCATTTATTTATATATTAATGAGGATTAATGGTCCATTTCCATAAGGGCAGTGGGGTAGTCTAGTGTTTAAAGCGTTTGCCCGTCATACCAAAGACCTGGGTTCTATTCCCCACATGGGTACAATGTGTGAAGCCCATTTCTGGTGCTCCCCACCGTGATGTTTTTGGAATATTGCTAAAAGCGGTGTAAAACTAAACTCACTCACTCACCATATCCATAAGATTCTAGAATGCAATAGGACTGCAGGTATGCAGGTATTTTCCTAACAATATGTATTGCAGTAATGTTTCTGTGTTCAAGTACATTCTGCAAGAATTGTAAAGCAAGCAACCTGAAATTTACACTTCATTCATAATGATGTTTCCATTTTGAATAATAAAGTTTCGGAAATATACTGGACAAAAATAGTTCGGGATATATGTAAATTTTGAAATTATGATCATTGACACACTGAAAAAATATCAATCATAAAAATACCAATATCCCTAACTTATTTTGTCAAGTATACATGACAGATTTTTCTGATTTTAAAATTGTAAAATTGACTTAAGTATGTAGAAAATAGGATCTAAATGTACAGTCAGTATCAGTCTGCGAAATAGTTTCCAAATTTTGCTAGCCAGTCGGGCAAGCTATGCCTGAAACTTACTAGCCCACAAACTAATTCACAAGCCCAAAATTTGAATGTGGAAACTTAAGCAAAGGATTACAAAAATAGATGAGAATAGGATATTGTCGGCATGACATCATTAAGCTGCTGATATGATGAATATTTTTATCAGGCCATAATCGTGCATGATTTAGAAGTGTATTATAACTTAACAAGTCAGAGAGAGTGATATATTTACAAAATGACCCCATGAAAATTCATTAGCAAGTCAGGCCAGTGATTGTGAAGATTTACTGGCCCGATTGGACCGCTAGCCCATAGCTATTTTGCAGACTGGTCAGTATCAATCCCATATATATTGAATTTCATATTGCAATATACTTGTCTTTGTCACAATACCTTGAAATTCAGTTCTTTTGCCTTTACATAGGTCTAGCACAGAGTATAGTAACTATGAAATAATGTATCCCAAATTCAACCATCTGCGTATATCCAGGGTATAATATTTGTATCCTGTTGCAATAAACACCCTGAAACCATTCACTGCCATAACTTTGTTTCAGAGGTGGCGTCAGGTCATGACATACATGAGATGTAGAAACTGAAGAATTCATTTATTAATTTGATGTGTAGTCTTGATACTCCAATTCTTATTGTAAAAGTAAAAACATCGGAAACCTTGGCCCACAGATAAGTCTGTTTGTACCCACCATAGCTAAAGAGCATCAAAGTGTTTGACAGTTGTCTCCCTTTAGATTATATGTTAAGTCATACATTTTCAGATGGCAGTGTTTACTCTCACCGTTTACTCCACACATCATCATCATCATCATCATCATTGTCATCGTCGTCAAATGATGACAATAGTAATAGGCAATGGTGTACAACATAATTAACCCTGGTCAATGGATCATCATGCCATCAAATTACATTCTCAACTCCTTGGGCAGTCTACATTGTATATGCTTCTTGCAGGTGATGACCAGCTTGCGAAACGGCGGCGAAGATTCAAAGACACAAAGTCCCCAGATCGGTCAGAACAGGAACCCTTGTCATCGTCAGAGTCTCCATCGGGGAGCTCCGACGAGGTGAGCACCAGCTACAACTCTGACGGCATCTACAGCCCCACCTTCAGCGAACACTCCCCAGTGCAACCAACTCCATCCCATCCCGTAACCACCAGCGTCACCACAAAATCAGAACCAGAGGACAACTCATATCCCGTGCCTCTGCCTGAGGATGTACGACAAAGTATTGCAGAAATCGAGCAAGTCTATACCTCAATTTTTGACGCTCCATATAAGGACACCCAGGCCTTGCGACTTGAGACTCAACCCCAGACATCCAACGATCTGTTTAACATGACCGATATCTTCATCCGTCGACTTATCAAGTTTGCCAAGCTCATCCCAGAGTTCCGAGCCTTAGCTCAAGAAGATCAAATTCATCTATTAAAGGTAAGATGATACTGGGGTTTGGGGTTTAATTGAAATATATATGATATAGATATTACTGTGTTGATCACCAGCATATGATCCCATTCACATTCTCGCTCATGCATTCATTCTAATTTACAGCCATGGATCCGTTCCACAAAATGGTCTTAGCACAAAGATTATTGTAACTCCCACACTTTTACATAGACTTACATCTGTCGTAGGTACGATCGCTTTGTTGAATGGGCCTGATGTAACATTCACTCACTCACTCACTACTGATCTCATGCAGCTACTCTACTCCAACGTCATCCCTCTCACTCTATTCCAACTCCACTCCAACACTCAACTGAAACTCTCCACTCCAACTCCACTATAACTCCACTCCAACTATAACCCTCCAACAATCTACTCCAACTCCACTCCTAATCTACTACAACGCTCTACTTCAACTCCAACCCGTCAACTCCATTCCAACATTCTACTCCAACACTCAACTCCATCTCCCCTCCAACTCCCTTCCAACTCCACTCCAACTCAACTCCAGCTCCGCTCCAACTGAGCTTCCAACCCTCTACTCCAAGTCTACTCTAACACTCAATTCCAACTGTCCACTCCAACTCCATCTCCGCTCCAACTGAGCTCCAACCCTCCACTCCAAGACTACTCTAACACTCAATTCCAACTCTCCACTCCAACACTGCTCCAACTCCATCTCCACTCCAACTGAGCTCCAACGCTCTACTCAATTCCAACTGTCCACTCAAACACCGCTCCAACTCCATCTCCACTCCAACTGAGCCCCAACGTTCGACTTCTCCGACACTCAACTCCGCTCCAACGCTCTACTCCAACATTCTACTGTAGTTTCATTTCAGATGCGACACCGTCATCTCTATCACTGTTATCACTAACTTATCACTTGAATCATCTTCTTCTTATGCTTGAGGGGCGTGGGGTAGCCTAATGGTTAAAGCGTTGGCTCGTCACGCCGAAGACCCGGGTTCGAATCCCCACATGGGCACAATGTGTTAAGCCCATTTCTGGTGTCCCCCGCCGTGATGTTGCTGGAATATTGCTAAAAGCGGCGTAAAACCAAACTCAGTCAGTCTTATGCTTGAAAGCATCTGCTCAAAAAGCCTCTTCTTTGTAATGTGAATATGTCCCACTTATTTATCAGTAAGCCCTTCTCGACCAGCTCCTTCAGCAATGCTGAACGACAAATGAAGCAAGTCTAGACTTCCTCAGATTCAGCATACTTTCTGTATTATCATAATACTATTTTATATGTTCAGAGACTAAGCATTAGTCTGTACACCTCCATTCGACATTTTTAAATTGAGCCCTTGATGAGTCCCTAATCCCTTAACCCCATTGTGTATACTACTACTTAGGTGCATGCAAAAGTTGATGAAAATCAGTCGAATAGTTTCTGAAATATTGACTTATAAGTGAGCATGGGGTCGGTCGGGAAAAGGCAAAATGTCCAACGTTTTGTCGTAATTAAGTCTTAATTAATCTATTGCAGTCATCGAGAGAGTTCCCAATGCCGTTTTGCCTATAGCGTAACCATCTGCCGAGATGCATGCAAAATTTACACGAAAATCGGTTAAATAGTTTAGGAAATAATCTCTTTTTAGTGAGCATGGGGTCGGTCTGGCGAAAGGCTAACAATCCAACATATTGTTGTACTTGTTATATATTATCGAGGCGAGAGGTGCTTTTAGCTGAATGAATCGCAGGTCTCGGAAGTCATCACCTCGCTACCGTCTCGGGGGTTGCTTTGAGCGAGCGCCGTGGACGAGTATAAGTGTGTGTGTCTCTTGGCTCGGCTATGATGATGATGCATGGCCAGCTGACTAGCGAGATGTTTGAAGATCGCTGAGCGCTGTGGCTGTGGGCGAGACTCAGTGTGTGGCTCAGTTCGGCTTGTACAGGCAACTGGCTGGCTGGCTATGTTATGTAGATTTCCACTAAATCATGCCACATCTCTCGGCAGTTCCCATGGGTCGACTCGGTAGCATTGAGCGAGCGCTGTGGGCGAGTCGCAGTGTGTATGTCTCGGCTCGGCTATTTATCTACAGCTCGCTGAGATGGCTGGCTACGGTATGTTGATGTCCGCGAAACAGTTTATTGTGAATCTCGTATGATTTGTTTGGTTGTCGTAATGAATACATGTCAGGCCTGTTGCTACCCTTGTTCTATGAAAAAAAAATTCTTGTCTTCGCAAATGACAGCGTTTTTACGAGACTTGGTCCGAATCTCTTGTTTCATTCTGTGATATTTTGCGATTTCTGATAGCACCAAACGAAACTCTTCTTCAGAAATTTTAGAGTCGTGAGCGCTGTGGAAATATGATCGTCTATCGTGTTTAACTTCACTTCGGCTACAATTCTAATTTCGTCGTGTTTCAATGCTTTACGTTGCAGTCTGCGAGACACATACTTAAGGGTCAATCCCATCAACCCTACCACTCCGGCTGTTATTTCGATGCCTAGCACCACGGGTGCGGCCACGATGTTGGATAATAACCCGATACCTGCTATGCCTAATCCGATGCCGACTGAATCCAGAGCGCTGTCAACACCGCCCACGGAATTGACGGCCCTGTGATATGTTTTCTGTAATGCCAACCGCGTATCGCGTTCACGTTCTAGTTGCTGTTTGATCTCGCATATCTGTCACAAACGAAACCCGCCTACGGTTTCCAGTGTTTTCGCCACTTCATCCATGACCGGGTACAGTCCCATTCTGTATATATACTCTTTTTATAAAATAGTATTTAATTGGTCCTAAGTCAGTGTTTGATGAATATACTTTAAGCTGATGAGGTACAAGTTTTCGTATATATAAATGGTCTGGAGTTCAATAAAATCCTTTTGAAATATCATAATATCTAGGTTTGCGGTTGGGGTTCTTCCGGTTGTATACAAATACGACAACGTTTTTGTTGATGGCGATCATGCAAGCGTATTTTTAACTCATGCAGAAGGTTTATATCTACTCCGGGGGGCATCTCCAAGAAATGACAATAGAAAAGATAATAAAAATAGAACCTTATCATACTGATCCACGAGTCTGGCATATCAGTATATTTTAGTAAAAATAACTCTGCTTTTTTCTCATTGGCTGACTGACTGAGTTTAGTTTTACGCCGCTTTTAGCAATATTCCAGCAATATCACGGCGAGAAATGGGCTTCATACATTGTGCCCATGTGGGGAATCGAACCTGGGTCTTCGGCGTGACGAGCCAACGCTTTAACCACTAGGCTACCCCAACGCCCTTTTTCTCATTGGGGACTAACATGTTAGCCGTTTGTTGTGGTAATGGAGCTACGCTCATCCACGTTTTTCTTCCCGGATCAAACCTCCCCAGCAGTATCTCGTTATTTTTTAGCGAGACTCCACCATCATTATTATTCATGATAAGATAGGGGTAGGTCAGGACCAGGTTAATAATCAAGTTCAAGTGAGATTCGATGATGACGTCTCGTCGTTTGTACACGTTATCTTGTAAGCGCATGGCGTACAAGGCGTTTTCCTCGCCGGGCAGATCGAATCCCCGCGTGTCCCCGAGATTGGCTAGCGTGACGTTGGGAGGATGATGGTTCATCTCGTTTATATATAATGTATTACGAAATGGTTTTCAATTTGTTATCGGATAATTCCTCGGACGTGCACTTCAAACCCATGAGATGTATGTTGTCGAGTAGGAAAATTTCGGTGAGCGATATCGTGTCTTCCACGGTCACGGTGACTCCCTACAGACTGGTGTAGGCGTTAACGTTCACATGCATGTAAGCGGACCAAACTTGGTATTGTTGTGGTTTGGCCCAGCGGAGTTTGATCCCTTTCACAATTTTGACGACGTTACACGCCGACGGCAGTTCGCCGAGGTAGGCTTGGATGTACAGCATGGATTTCGCCGGCACATTTTGCAGGACGTTTACCACGCTGTCGAATTCCGACAGCATCTGCAATCCCACGATTGGGGTTGCTCGACAGCATGTGGGCTACTCTTTGCCTCAACGTGCTGACGATCACGCTGCGTCTTTGTGTAGGGATGTAAGCCACGAGCAGCGTTCCGTTGTTCACGACTTTCGTCAGGTAGTGATCTTTGTTGTCCATGAAAACGTGGGGAGTGGAGCGTGATGTTGAGATTCCGGTCGATTTGGGATGGCACTAACACCCATTTGTTGTCGTCATTGAAGATGAGAGTGAACTGCGTGTTTCTGGAGACGGCCGTGGTCTTGACGTCGTCCAGGTGGAACAGCCTGCCGCTGAAGGCTGGGGTTATCGTTCATTCGTCCTCATCATTGCGTATCAGGTCGTACCGAGTGTTGTTGACCGCTCCTTTGGTATCGATGAAATCGCCTAGGTCGTTGCCACCACCACCAGTGGCAGTAGAGGGCAGAAGTTCGACGCGTTTGTAAATGCTGTTTTTCAGTTGCAAGGCGTACAGTTTGCCGTCGACTCCGGGTTCATCGAATCAGCGCGTGTCCCCGAGGTCGGAATCGTTATGTTGGTGCATTTTCTAATGCATGTTCCTGGACCATGAGACTCCGTCATTGGCGTTTGTGCAGCGTAGCGCTGAGATATCCTATACTTATGGGATCAAGTTTAATGTCTAAAACCGATATTTTCAATTCCGTGATGTTGCCTCGGATTAATTTCTTGTAATGCCGCGACGAAAACGATTCGTTTTTGCCATCGTTGTACTTTTCCGTTTTCACCGGCACGGCTCTCAACAGTGTGGAAGGTCGTTCGCCTTGAACGTTTTCGGTCGTGCTCAGCTGATCAAATGAATGCACAGTTCGCGATACGGAACAAGATTGGGTAATTTTGTGCCGTTCACAGTGATTTTGGTGGTATGTTGTTCGACGTCAACCCGAGCGTGTAAGCCAACAGCCGACTGAGTCTCAAGTCGTTTTTTCCATTGTTGGCTAACATGACCGTGCCGTTCGAGTTGTTCATTTTGAGTTCGGCTCCAACGGGTTTGAAGATTTTTTCGTTGAGCGAGCACACGCTGTAGTAGCTGTCCGTTATTTGGTTGCGGGCGTTATTGACGAACAGCCTGTTGTTTCTGCCGTGGATGTTGGTCAATCGTGGGTAGTAGGTGATGTCGCAGAGCGCGACTTCGAGCTGACCGGACGTGTTATCGATCGTGTTCAGCAGTTGAAAGGACTCGCCGCTCGTGATTCCCGGAAGCGTCATGTACCTATTGAAAAAGTAGATATGTATACTATAACAATTCAAATATGTACAAACCAGGAGTGTTTTATTCTAAAAGTGATAATGTAAGTGCTACCTATTTCACGCAACCGAGTATTGTGGTAAATGCTAATGATGGTTTACATTTCATGGTTTCCAGTCACGAATTTTGTAATCGGTACATTCTTGGTTTAACAACCCGATGCAATTCTGGCAGAATCAATTCAATTTCGCCGTGTGGTGCGCGACCACAGGGTGTGCTGAGTCGGTCTGTATTCTCGTTTCACGTGTACTACCAGATCAGATGTATCCTGAAAGAAATCAGTGCCCCGATTCCGCAGGACAAGGCATGGAATGGCGTAAACAATCCATACGACCGACGTGCGTACGAACGCGTTTGCGATGAATTCAAACTAGATCCGAAGACAGTCGATTGGCGTTTGCCGGGTCCGAACCACAGTTTGGGCATTCCCATCGTTCACAACATGTCTCTTGTTAAAGCCAGCAAACAGCTAGTGAAAGATTGGGGTTACAAGTCGTATCATTACGTCAAGACGAACGACGATTACATGGCTTTCAACGACAGCAAGGATAACCACGTTTGGAGGTTTGAGCATGGACCTGTCGGACGATTGGAAATGTTCATGCTGGACACTTTGAAAGGGTTTACTCGTGCCGGTGTAGTCAGATGGATGATTCTATTCGAACGTACATGTGGGCCGTGCTGGGCGCTCAGACGCAAACGCGTTCCGGATTCGTGGGTCGTGAAGGGACGGCTTATGACGCGCAGAAATAGTTTGTGGCTAACGTCGAGGATGCCATTGCTAGACCGGTCGATCTACCGAGTGCCATCGCACGCTATCAAAACACGCTAGAATACGTCCGGTCGAAAGTCGACTACCTGTTTGGAACGAGACTGTACATGGCTCCGAGCCACATGCGACTGAGGGTGAACAGAGTGGTGGGCTACAACAACGAAATCATCATCGCCACCAGCGATCAAAAGTTGGGCTTGAACCAGGACGTCAATAACGCGAGTCGAGTCGTATCGCAGTACGAAACGGGCATCGTGGAACCGACACTGGAAGTAGAAGTAGCACCACCACGCCAACAACAGCAGCAGCTGCCCCCGCAGATGCAGCTGAACAATCGGCGGCACGTTGATCGCAAAACGGCACTGGTGGTCGGGGGGGAACGCGGTCGGTCGGTCAGGTTAAAAATTCCTTAGGTGCGACGTACACCAGACCCTCCACGGCGATGAGGGTTTTGACCGAGCCACGTGACGGTTTTCAATAAGGAGCCTAACAACCAGGAAATGATGCTGCCCAAGATGCCAGGCAGTGCTTTGGCAGCTTTGCCGGCAAATTTAGCCAGGGCTTCGCCGAGATATTTCAAATGTGTTTTTATCCAGTCTCTGACGTCGTCGCCTGATGATGGGCTAGTTGGTGTTGGCGGTGTACCACCACCGCCCATCAGCGATACGACCAGGGTCGATATGATGAAGCCCAAAACCGTGAGAACGCTGGCGATGCCATTAAAAAGGAGTCCCAATGAGTTGGAAGATTCAGAGTAAATCTAGACTTGCTTCATTTGGGACTTAAGCACTGTGGAAGAGTTGGGTGGTAGGGAAAATAATATGGTTTTAGGGACTGTGAGACAGACTAGGAGATGTACACATGTCTCTGGTTCCCATTGCGCAGATCGATGCTCATGCTATCGATCACTGGATTGTCTGGTCCAGACTCGATTACTCACAGACTGCCGCCGTATAGCTGGAATATTGCTGAGTGTGGCGTAAAATTCAACTCACTCACTCACTCACTGCTTGGTTCCTTCTCCCTTTATCACTTTCTAATTTTATTCATCCTTCATTAGAATAACAATCCGTCAATCTTTGGCTTATTTATTTGAAGAGGAATTGGTGTTTTTACACTTAGTGTTTAACAGACATTGTTGTATTTGTCAATATCATGACAAAGTCAATACTCGCATGACAGGCTTATGGAAAGCCATCAATCAGAGGTCGCAACGACCTTCATCACAAGTACTGGCTGAGGTACACTTTACAAATACCATGCAAGAAAGATGCAACACATAATCTGCGGCTGAATCTAACATCACAAATATCATCATAGGATGAAGCTGTTGTATTATGCTTTGAATGGGAAAGGTTGTTTTATCATCCTGACCTGATTCCTTCGTTGTATTTACAATGTGTAATACCAGCTCAAACGACTTCAGCAATGATATTTGCATGTTTTTCGACTGCGTTTGTAGAGATTCCTACCTCAAACCTGAAGTGTTCTGCACAGAACACTGCTCCAGATGATAATTTTAGCCATTGTGTATTTTACACCTGTTTTCTTTCTTGTTGGGTATCTTAGTTTTCTTTTGGTATGCAACATATTTTTTTTCCTTTGCCTCCTTTTTCGATTTGATCTGACCCATTTTGGGTTATTTTTAACCAATGAAAGACATTTTTAGAACTAGATCCAGGTTACATCTCATTTTCCTTTTCCTTTTTTGTGTTGCCTCAATAATCAGAAGCTATATAAGCTCACTACAGTGATAAATGTATTGATTGCAACTAGAAAGAGGAAGCACTTGTGTATAATTCACTGCAATAGAGTTTATGCGTGGGCGATCTCAGAATTCAGTCAGTAAGTGTAGAAAAGCTATTCTGGGGATAGGAACAGAAAATTATGGGCTATGTAACAGTGTTTTTCATTCATGTTTCTATGCAAGCAGCTCAAAATTCTCTGGGTTATTGCTATTTGCCTATCTGGAGCTGTCATAGATTCTGCCTAAACTGGTTACACGGGAACAAGTAGAAACTGCCTTTTAGACCTTATGGTTTAGTTTAGGACTGTAGACTGTTGCTCATACTGTCAGGGTGGTAGGGTAGCAGGGGCAGAAATAACCCATTGCCCGACCTGAGTCCAGTGTTTTTTTCTGTCGGGCAAGCAAATTTGTATATCACACTGTACAAGTGTCCAGTTGACTTTCCAGTGTTGATTATGTTGTGTATTTAAAAAAATCAACAAGAAAATCGGCCAGTATAGTGGAAAAATTATCAGGGCAAGTGATTTTACTTGTGCCACTGTACCGGGAGTACACTAGCAATTTTAAAGTTATTTCCAGCCCTGGGTAGCCTAGTGGTTAAAGCATTCACTCGTCATGCCGAATACCCGGGTTTGATTCCCCACATGGGTTCAATGTGTGAAGGGGTGGTGGCATAGCCCAGTGGTTAAAGCTTTCACTCATCACGCCAAGACACGGGTTTGATTCACCACATGGGTTTAATGTGTGAAGGGGCGGTGGGGTAGCCCAGTGGTTAAAGTGTTTGCTCATCAGGCCGAAGACCCGGGTTCGATTCCCCCACATGGATATAATGTGTCAAGCCCATTTCTTGTGTCCCCCCATGTGACATTGCTAGTAGCATAAACCCATACTCACTCACTCACTCATGCTACTCACTCACTCACTCATGTTACTTACTCGACTACTGGTGTTAATGGTCCAAATTTTATTATTTACAGGATGAATTAACAGCTCGAAAATTGTTGACTACAGCATTAAACATCATTCATTCAGCCATTTATTTGCAAACACAAGGTCAAAGTCATTGTCTGTGAAGGAGTTGATCTTTAATTGTACTGGGAGTACTTTAACTTAGCCTACTACTATGTCCGAACTAAGATGCACTATGATCCTTTGTGAACATGTTTTTTTCACCATTTACTGATATTTGTTGTTCTGTTTTCTTTGAAATCAGGGCGGAATCATGGAGATCTTTGTGCTGAGATCCGCAATGGGCTTCGACAAACAACAACAAATGTGGAAATACAAAATCGGGGGAGGAGGGACTTCAAAGCTCAGCCCCACTGTCATCAAGGACACACTCGGAAAGGAAATGTACACCGAACACATCAAGTTCGTCAAGTCATTTCACGTTTTGACAGGAAGCAATCGTATCGTAATGATGCTCTTGTTCATCATCGAACTCTTTTCCTCGGATCGTCCAAACTTGAAAGACAAAGTGATGGTTGCCAAGGGCCAGGAAAAATACTCCACGTGGCTGCAAACGTATTTGGAATCCCTGTACTCAGTCACGGGAAGCTCGATCTCTATATCCTAAGCTCCTTCTCAAACTATTGGATGTACGAAATCTCGGTGAAACAAGCTCCCAGCTTGCATCTCAGCTTGACGTGTCAAAGCTCGAACCTTTGCTTGTAGAAGTGTTTAATCTAAATACATGAGATCTATATTTTAGAAGAAATTTATCGGTGTACATGGAGAATTATTTTCAGGATTGAAAGTGACGTGTTATGACTGTTATTGACAACTTATTAGCAGGGATCTATTTTGATTTGTGTGATTGTGTTGCACAGCTGTTATCCCTCGTGGGTCAGTAACTTCGACAGCAACGTTTATTTCAACGCCGGATTCATCATATATATATACTTGTACTGTGTCTTAATTTCAGGAATCCAGATTTCCTTTGGAAATTTGCCAGGTTCATTCAGAAATGGAAGGATCTATCATTTTCGCTTTCTTTCATTCTGTGTTTGTTGTTTCCAAGGAAGATGTATATTTCGAGTCTGTTGAAATCAACAACTGTTGGGTTGTGTTTTTGTGTGTTTCAGTGTAGAATCATTCCTAATAGACACTAATGTTTATGTGTTTGTTGATCGCAGTGACGCTTTTGTGATAGGAGATTCTTGCCATCGATGTTGTTTCATCATGACAGCCTTCGACTGAGAACCACAAAACGTGTCTGGCTCACCGATCATCGCAAAAAAGTCACTCCAAACAAGGAGTGTGGCTTTTGAAATATTATTCATGGAACAAGCTACAGTAAATTAAACGAAATGCGTGATTTTTACAAGTTAGTTTGCTAAGAGTGTAAAAACATTTAGGATTTGAGTCCAGGATTTCAGTTTTAGATTTGTGACCAACGAGACTTACATATGGAGTTTTGGATACACAAAATGGAGATGGCATCTTGTTATGTCTGATGCTTCACAACGAATGTGAAAATAGATTTGGAAATATGGATTCTATGAGGTTTGTTTTTTCTTATGTTTGGGATACACCATATCATCAATTGGAGGTCACATACACCATTGTGAAGATGTACTGCAAGGGTTTTATTTCGGGGTGAAACCGTATACAGAGGTATTAGTAGAATCACGGTATATTGCCTTCAGTTCTGTATACTGTAATGCAATCCAAAAATTCGGTGTTTTCGTACCATCATTTCTATCTAGTCATAAAATGACAGTTTTGTTCATTCAAAATAACAAAGATTATGGTTATTTGATTTCCATGTTATTAAACAATGTAAGGTTTGGCTCCTGTCTATTTTTCTACATTATAAAATAAATATCTCATATACCGAACTGAAGGCCTTATACTGCAGGAGGGTACCGTTTCACCCCTAGTTTTATTTAATCCTATACAGAATTGAGTCACCTCAATATAATTATTTTATAAAATGTATTGCTGGTTAATTTCATGTGGTAATCTTATGTCTATTATATTGCCGAGTGCGAAGAATTGCAATACTGTCTAATTTTTTGTATGAGGCCAATTGGCTCTCATCTGTCATCTGTCCAATGTCCAGTGCCTGTTTACATGAAGACTGTCTGAAGTATCTGATCTGAAGGCAGAAGACGTAGTGTTGTACTTGATGTTTAGCATATAGACCAGGGCCTAGATTTTAGAAGCTCTCTTAGCGCTAAGATAGTTGTAAGTTAATGTTAATATGTGGCACTTACGACTTTCTTAGTGCTAAGAAAGCTTAAAAAATCTAGGCCCAGTAACTTATTTCATGTTGATTGAGAGACAGTAGCTGTCAAATCAGATGTTATAGTTGATAATATACCTCTTTGCATGAAGATGTCTCCTAAGGAGGTTGTGTCGGGTGAACCGCTGCTATGACTGCCTATATCTAAAGTTTGAACTGGGTCTTTGGCTAACCGGACTGCTCGCTAACACAGTTTGGCGTTGTATCTTTAAGAATTCAGTTCAGAAATATATATTTTAATATACACCCATAAGGAAAACTATTTCATCAGTGGTACTCCCATTTGGGTGTAGTTGCCATGTTTAAAGAAGTGACAGTGTTTAAAACACCTACAGAAATATATTTGAGTGACTATATATCTACATTAGGGACTGATCAGGTTAGTTCATCTTTGAAGGGGCGGTTGGGTAGCCCAGTGGTTAAAGCGTCCAAGACCGGGTTTGATTCCCCACATGGGTACAATGTGTGAACCCCATTTCTGGTGTACCCCCGCCGTAATATTGTTGGAATATTGCTAAAAGCGGCATGAAACCATACTCACTCACTCATCTTTGAAATGCAGAAATCAGTAGTGTCTTGGCCCCATTCCTCAAAGAGAACATGACAAAATAACAGTCATTTAAATATTGTATGGGAGTTAAGATCATCTCACTACTATAACTTAGTTTTATTGGCCGCCGTGATATTGATGGAATATTGCTAAAAGCGGCGTAAAACCAAACTCAGTCAGTAGTTTTATTGAGAATTTAGAAGCCTTAACAGTGAATCACTGATTAAGGAGTTAAGAAGACACAACCTACTATAGAGATTTGGGATTTTCATGCAGAGAGGTACCTTGATGAAGTTAAAGATCTGATATGAATTAGTTTGACTAAAACAGTAGAAGTACATCATCTAGAAAGTTTGGATGAAGGAAAATGAAACGACCGATCTTGCCTGTGTTTGTGGAATGACCATTATTCCGATGATATTGCCACGACTGCTCAACCAGGAACAGCTTCAGTCTTATTGTAGTCCAATACACTGGCCATGTCTGGCCCTGTAATCAAAGGCCCCACAATTTGCTGTCCAGAGTTGCCTCCCTTAGGTGTGTTAGGAACCTGTGAATGTGGTTTGAAATCCCTGATGTGCCATAATTATGTTTATAGGTTTGTCAGCACTATGAATATGCTTTTTGGCTTCACTAAAGTCGTGGTTTCATCCACGTAGATTTGACACACCATGTGTGAATGAGGTTCAAAGTGGCATTATACCAAACTCACTCACTCAGTGATTCATATATTAATATTGTTCTTACTCCTTCATCAGATGATGAATATACTTTGAAACATCTTGGGGCAGTGGGGTAGAATTGGGGTTAAAGTGTTAGATCATAGTGCCGAGGACCTAGGTTCAATTCCCCACATGGGTACAATATGTGAAGCCCATTTCTGGTGTCCCCTGCCGTGATATTGCTGGAATATTGCTAAAAGCGGCCTAAAACTAAACTCACTCACTCAGAAACATTATGTCTCTCATTATACAAAAGTTTGCATCCCTAATTTTCACATTTATGTATACCACTTCAAAATGCCATTCAAAAACATAAACAACATTGCAGAGAACTGTCAGTGGTATTGAAGTATCAAAATTTAATCCAACTTAAATGAATTTGTTACACTCCCGACCTCTCTTTCCCCAGCTCATGCTGTTGATCAGACTCGTCCAGACTCGATTATTTACAGACCGCCGCCATATAGCTGGAATATTGCTGAGTGCGGCGTAAAACTAAACTCACTCACTCACACTCTTTCCCCAGCACTAATGACTATTTCTGGTATGAAACAATAGATGTGTTGTAGACCTCTACCTTGGAATACAATAAAAAATGATATATGATACATGAAGGTCCAATTTGTATCATAATAATGTTTGTATCATTTTCAAGTGAAATGAATTCGGGCCTCCAATACATATTTAATGAACATTGCTCATTGAAAGATACCAATTAGCTACCAACAACTAGATGCTTTAAATCATATTTATCTTTAGATGACCTATATTGTTTACTAGGATACACGTCCTCATGTATTAGTGTATTGTTTTGGGTTGTCATGGTAACATAAGTATTAAAATGCATACATACAGATCTTGGTTAAAAATAATACTTAGTCACTTGGATGTTCAAACCAAAGAAACTGAAAAATTACAATTTCTGGAATATTTTTCTTTGTCTCTTCAGAAATGGCTCAGGATAACATGATTGACTTTAAATTAAAAAACAGATCTTGTTTGAAGATGAGACTTGTATTTCTAACAGCCAACATTTCTCATTTGGAAACAAGTCCAATATTGGTCTTCAGTATTGTTAAAGTCTCACACTCAGGCTAATACCTCAAGCCCTGACGATAGCCCAGAATCTGATTGTGCCTTTGGCGGTTTCATTTTCTCTCCCTCCTTGTTTGATGAAAGATGTTTCATTTGATTAGAAATCATTTCATTTGTTTGATCAAAGTTTGTTTCCTTTCTTGTCTTCATCAGGTGGAAATCTTTCATCTTAACACCTGTCTTTATCCATCCTCATCAAATACAATTCATGCCTCATCACTATTGCCATGTGGAAAGTAGTATGTGTGTTTTCCGCCTTCTGTCAGCAAGTACTGTAATTGAATTACTTGTAGTAGATGCATACGTAGGCAGGTCCAGACAGGGGGTGCACACACCCCTTTTTGACCTGGGTTCAGTTCCCCACATGGGTACAATGTGCGAAGCCCATTTCTGGTGTCCCTCACCTTGATATTGCTGGAATATTGCTAAAGGCGCATAGTACCATACTCACTCACTCCCATGGAAACACTATGATGGTGAAAGCTGTCAGATATTTGCACTGAGGTCCAAAAGTCTTGCATATTCATATCGCACTGTTCATACATGCTTTCTATACTTGCCAACTCTTGCTTGTACAATGTAATTGTGAAAAATGTGTTTTTAGTTAGACATGGTCTTGTACTACTTTCACAACAACTTGTTGAATGTTCTGTTCTTTTGTAAATTGTTTTGTTTCTGGTACCAAACAAATAGTTTCCTATTAATTACATATGTTCACATGATTGGTAAGATAGATAATATCATAACAAGTTATTGGAAAGATATTCTGTTTTCCTGAAGAGAAGTTACATTGATGTAATGACACCACCCTAGACATAATGTTTTTGTCAACCTGCAACTTTTTTTGCTATGTTCATAAGAAAACAATTATTATTTGAACTACCCGGTGATCAATCAGTTCATGGTATTTTTATATTTACAATATGCTCACAAACCTTTTTCCCTTATAAGTGAAAAGGGAATTGATTGTATTTTCCACAGAACTGCTTATGTTCTACATACTGCAAGTGTCTAATGTCAAAAATTCTTTTTTTTTCTACATAAGACATTGATATTGCTTTGTAGGATTCTGTCAAAAAAATGGATATGTCCATCAACTGAGTAACACACAGGTGAAAATGTTAGTAAGGCCAGACCAATTTTATTTCTTGCTTTGTTGCCTGTTGTATTTTTTCAAGAATAAGAAAAAAGAAAAAAATTCCCAGCTCAAAAAATAAAATCCTAATGTTTTTATTGGCCAGAAATGTGAACATACAAAAAAAAATTGTTTTTGGATTGTTTCTTGCCCCATATACACTTCATCAATTGCCAAAAGTAACATACTTTGATTATTTAGAAGGAATATTACTTTGACTGGTGATTTTTTTTGTTTTTTGTTTTTTCCCTCCTGCGTTTAGGTTTTCTGAAGACAAAAATCTGTAAAACAAGAAATAAAATTGGTCTGGCCTAATCTGAAATAAGATTAAAAATGAGTATGCTATGTCATTGGTAGATATTCCGCACACTAATCCAAGCAGATGTTAAAACTTCAAGCAGTTCCTACATTAAGGATCTGATCTCAAGAACTCCAGGATGTTTCTAAATTTCAAATAGTGACTATTTGTAGGTATGACCTTTATTTTTGTAGCTGGTTTACAGAATTGTTGGCCCATTGTTCAATGTAGATATTCTACAAAATTAAAAAAAGAAAGTTTTAACCTTTAGTAGTGCTGCTGAATGAAAAACATTTGATAATTGCATCAGTATGTAAGTGCAATTGTACAATGTACAATGGGTTAGCCTAGTGGTCAAAGCGTTTGCTTGTCACGGTCCACAGATTCCTACAGATTGAACAATATATGCAATTTCTTTATTGCTGGAATACTGCAAAAATCGGCGTAAAAGTAAACTCACTCACAATTTCTCATGAACAGCAGAAATATATCCTGTTTTTTTAACTTATACTTAAATGTAAAACAGAACCAGCCTCAATGCGTTTGGGTCAATGGTGATTTTATTTTATGTTTTAAATAATTTTGTGTTGGTCAGAATAAAAAACCAACTATAGAGTATAAGG